ACGACAGGTTAAAAGGCAAGAGGAAAACTATGACCAGCAGGTTGAAATGTCTCTGCAAGATGAAGATGAATGTGATGTTTATATTCTGACCAAAGTATCAGATATTTTGCACTCATTATTTAGTACTTACAAGGAAAAGATTTTACCATGGTTTGAACAGCTCCTTCCATTAATTGTAAATCTCATTTGTTCAAGTAGGCCATGGCCAGACAGACAGTGGGGATTATGCATATTTGATGATATCATAGAGCACTGCAGTCCAACCTCATTTAAATATGTGGAATATTTTCGGTGGCCAATGCTACTAAATATGCGAGACAATAACCCAGAAGTTAGGCAAGCTGCTGCTTATGGCCTTGGTGTTATGGCACAGTTTGGTGGAGATGATTATCGTTCTTTATGTTCAGAAGCAGTTCCACTCTTGGTGAAAGTTATTAAGTGTGCAAATTCCAAAACCAAAAAAAATGTTATTGCTACGGAAAACTGTATCTCAGCAATAGGGAAGATTTTGAAGTTTAAGCCTAACTGTGTAAATGTAGATGAAGTTCTTCCACATTGGTTATCATGGCTTCCACTGCATGAAGATAAAGAGGAAGCTATTCAGACTCTGAATTTTCTCTGTGACTTAATTGAAAGTAACCATCCACTTGTAGTGGGTCCAAATAATTCCAATCTTCCCAAAATCATCAGTATAATTGCAGAAGGAAAAATCAATGACACTATTAACTATGAAGATCCTTGTGCTAAACGCCTAGCTAATGTTGTTCGCCAGGTACAGACTTCTGAAGATTTATGGTTGGAGTGCATATCCAAACTTGATGATGAACAGCAGGAAGCCTTACACGAATTGCTAAATCTTGCTTGAAGCACTTTAATATTACTTGAATATCATCTGCCATAAAAGTGACTACTAATAAATGTTGAGTGGATTCTGTTATAAATGACAGAATTGTTCTCTCCATTGTAAGTGGTTATATTTCATCCCCATGTTTCTCTAGGAGTAGTCACAGCCTTTTGTATACTTTGCATGTTTTATCTCTTAACATAGAACTTAGTAATAACTCATGTCTTAGAATGTTTGTCACTTACCCCTACTTGATGTGCAGTAAGTATAAGTTGTTGCTGTTTGAACAAATATCAATGCTGCAGTTAACTTGGTGCCAAGAAGTCATCCTGACTGTCACAAGATACTAAGAGCTAACAAAGGTAAGATAGAACTTCCAGGACAAACATCTTTGAAGTTATGACAGGCTTATTTATTACTCCTTGATACTACTACTTCTGATATTTATGGTGGTAGAAGAATGGTAGAACTGAGAGTGAGTTTCAAGATATTGCTGTGGAATGTGAGAGTTTTCTTTATAATGTATGTAAACTTTGATATGATGTACTCCTGAGAACCAGTTGTGACATATCCAAATTCCAGTTCACAAGGTGTTCAGCTGAGAGTTATGAGAACATTTAAATCTCTTTAAACTGCTCTCCATTTAAAAAAGTTAATCAGAACAACAAGAATTATAGTTACTGAATTATAATTACTGGTGCATCTAACATTGGTAGCATGTAATATACTGTAATACTGTGTTTGACAAATAGCAAGTTATCAGTGTTTGTGGGATAAGTGTATATGTTTTAGCAAACTATTTGTTTGTATATGTGTGCTATTTTTTTCCTGCCAAGCAGGTCAACAAGAAGAGAAGACTTGATTCAGAATGAGACCCAAATAGTTTCAGGTTGTGAGGAAGTTCATAGCAAATACTATAGCAGCACTGAAGGATATTCTATAGTAAAAGTGAAAAAACAAAACAAAACTTAATTTTATTTTTAAATATTAAAAATAAAACAGCTTTGAGACTAGTCATTTACCAGTGTAAGTGCATTATAAGAAAACAGCTCTGTAAGTCTGTTCTATTAATTGCAATGTCAGTCTTTGGTGTTGAGCTTTTTATAGGGTAGAAAAAAGCTTTCTAGTCCATAAATCATCCATATAAAACTTAAAAAAAACATACATCTATTGTGACTTCCTGGGGATATTGTGAATACTGTGTACGTATTCAGCAAATATTTAAGAACAGTAAGTGCTCAATAAATCATTGCTGTTCATTCATCTCTATTGTGTGTCTCTATATTGGTTTTTGAGTTTGGAATTCCTTTTGAAAATTTCCTTTGGAATTTTCCAATTCACCCCTTACCACACTTCAGATTGGTAGGTTGGGCCCCTGTAGACAGGGATATAAAGTTGAGATCTTAGATATGTGTTTCCTTGGGCTGGGAAGGTGGCTCAGCGGTAGAGCGCTTGCCTTGCATGCTTGAGGTCCTGGGTTCGAGTCCTCAGCACCACATAAGCAAAAAGAAAAACAAGCTGGAAGTGGCGCTGTGGCTCAAGTGGTAGAGCGCTAGCCTTGAGCTGAAGAGCTGAGGGACAGCTGCCCAGGCCCAGAGTTCAGGCCCCATGACCAGACCCCCCGCCCCCCCAAAAAAAGAAATGTGTTTCCTATCCATATAATTTTTGAGCGAGGGGAGAAAGTTAAGAATGCTACATATAGTGTGGTCATAATTGTAAGTCATTTAAAATAAATAGAAAAAATCAACTTCAAAGTTTTTTTGTTTTTGTTCAGTCCCAGGGCTTGAACTCAAGGCCTGGGCACTCTCTGTGAGCATTTTCCCCAAGACTAATGCCCTGCCACTTGAATCACAGTTCCACTTCCTGCTTTTTTTTTTTTTTTTTTTTTTGGTGGTTGGGATAAGAGTCTCATGGACTTTCCTTCCTGAGCAAACTTTGAACCAAAATCTTTAGGTCCCCGCCTGAGTAGCTAAGATTATAGATTTGAGCCATTGGCACTTAGCTACTTCTAAGTTTTGTTTCTTGTTTTTATTTTATTGTAATGCTGTACAGAGGGTTTGCAGTTACATGAGTAAGGTAATGAGTACATTTCTTGTCAAACATTGTTACTCCTTTTTCTCCCACTATTCCTTCCCTCCCCAGTTTCCCTCCTTCCCCCCTCCCAATTTATAAAGTTCATTTCCAACATAGAGTCTTGTAAGTATCATTTTGCATTGGGTTATTCTTTGTCCTTGTTATTCCCTTTCCCTTCCCCAAATCAGATAAATGTATATACAAGACATAGGGTACCAGAATCGAAGACAGTGATTGCCTCCTTCTAAGTTTTAATAGAGAGTTGTCTTATTTGTGGAATCAATGGTAATACTTCTATAAATATACCTACATTTCTTGTATAAGAGTGGATTTTTTTAAAGTTCTAGGACCTGTTCTGCTTTCATAATAACTGGAATTACTGTCATCTTCCTTCTTTCTGAACTAGAGTTGAGACGTCTTCTATTTCATTCTCGTATATATATTTAATTAAGAAGCCTTTCAACGACATTTCCTGCATGAAGAATTAGAAATTCTGCCAGATGATTTGGAATTAGGCACCTAGAGTTTTAAAGTATGACACAACTAGGTTTGAATTTTGGCAAATTATTAAAGAGTTAGATTCTCTGGAACGAAGGTAAATACCTAGATTAAAGGATTGTTGTAAGAATTAAGGAACATAATGAATATAAAGTGTTTAGTGACATAAGGCTCAATAAATGGAATAAGAGTCATGAAATAGGGCTGGTGCTTAAAAAAGAAGATACTTGCTTGAATATGGTTGACCCAGATTCTTGGGCTTTAGTTAAAGTAAATGAGGGATATCCAGCAGTTTTAGGCATGTTTGTTTCTCAGTTGTTGAAATAGGTCTAGTCTCTGTCCTTTTCCTTCCTGAGCTGAGGTATATCTTCAGCATCCGGAGAACACTATTAATGTAAATGTCAAACTAACAAATTACAAATATCTGATAGTAGGAATCCTTCCGTATCAAATGAATCTGTGCATATAGAATGAACTGTAACTACTCTAAAGCACAAAAATGTCCCCATCTCAGTATTTTACTTTCAAATGGTATTTATGGACAAACCAACCAAAAACGTTGAGGATTTCAATTTTGGCATGTTTTTGAGAGGCATTAATGCAAAAGGCATGTAAATTTTACCGTGGAGAGGACTTACATGTCATGCTTTCTCACTATTCATTTGCCGTAATAAGGTTAACTATTAGGTTCCTTTAGGATAAATTAGAGATTTTAGGGATTACCAGAGTCTCACGAATCAACAGAGCTGGACTGGCTGAAGCCTCCGGCCGCCCGGTTTTCACCGTGAGCACGGCGGCGCAGGCGCTCTGCTTCCCCCTCCACCCCGCCCCTTACGGTGGCCCGCGCGCTAATGACGTCACTCTCCCGCGCGGCGTTCCGGGCCTCGGTCGGGTCGCGGAGCCGTAGTCTTCCCTTTCGCAAAGCTGGGCGGAGCGCGAGGAGAGCAGGGGGAAGATTTTGTTCTACTACGCACGCGCAGAGGGGATGGCGACGGTGCCTCTTTCTTTCCCTCTTTCTGTAGCTTAGCTCAGCCCGGAGGGTTGAGTGCCCTCCCCCTGCTCTGCCTGCCCCTCCCCTCATCCCCTCCCCCCCGCCCAGTGGGGATCCTAACTGACAGTTGTCGCCAGGCCCGTCCGTGCGCCGCCTCCTTCTGCCCAGGTCCCCCGCAGGTAGAGAGGGGCGGGAGGGGGTGTGAGGGAGAGGAGGAGCCGGGCCCGCCGCGGCCCAGCGCCGCGGCCCACCCGGGGGAGGAGAGAGAGGAGCCCCTGGTACTCCTCGCCCCCTCCCCGCCCCCTGCCGGCCCGGGAGGGGGTGGGGCACCGGGGCCGCGGCCGCCCCGCGAGGCTCGGCGGTGGAGAGAGCGGCGACCGGCGGGCGGGCGGCGGAGGGGTGAAGCCGACGAGGGCCGCGCGCGCGCCGCCGGGGGAGGGGAGAGAGGAGGGCACCCGGGCTCTCCTCTCCCCCTCCCCGCGCGCCATGTAACCCCGCCCCGCCGGCGGCGAGCTCGAGACCCCCGCGCGCACCGAGCCGAGCCGGCGGCTGAAGAAGGACGAGGCCCGATGCGGCACGGGCTGCGCGGCACGGCCGAGCCGTGAGGAAGCGGCCCGCGCTCCCACGTCCCTCGGCGTCTCGAGAGGCCGCTCCGCGCCTCCCAGCCTGGGCCTGCCGAGAGCATGAGCGTGCCCGAGCCTCCCGGGGAGATGGAGCCGGCTGGGGAAGAGGAGCGGCCGCCACCGGCGGCCGAGGCAGAGGGCGAGGAGGAGGTGGCCGAGGCGGCCCCGGCCACGGGGCCGGCCCGCGGGAGGAGTGCCTCCTCGCTGGAGGACGCGGCGGACCCGGCGGAGGAGGCGGCGGAGACGAAGGGGGTCGCGGGCGGTGGCTGCAAGGAGCAGGAACTGACCTACGAGCTGCAGCAGGGTTACCGCATCCTGGGCGAGTTCCTGCAGGAGAAGCATAGGGGCCTCACTGCCCCCTTCCTGCAGCCCTTGGGGGGCGTTGCCAGCGGGGAAGAGGAGGCGGCCGAGGGGCCGCGCGGCGGGGGCCGGGGCAGTCGCGCCGTCCCGCCGCCGCCGCCGGGCCAGGGCATGTGTTTGCTGAAGATGGAGGAGAAGTTCGCCAGCGGCCAGTACCGGGGCATCACGGAGTTTGTGGCGGACTTCAGGACGATGCTGGAGACGTGTTACCGCCTGCACGGAGTGGACCATTGGATCTCCAAACAGGGCCAGAAGCTAGAGATGCTGCTGGAGCAGAAGTTGGCGCTTCTCTCTCGGTAAGCTAGCCCCATTCTGGGTGGGACTGACAGACTGACACAAACACACCCTCACACGTGTCCGAGCGAGGATGGGCTGGGCCAGGGAGCGGGGGGCGGCGCTGATAGGTGCGGTGTCGGTGGCGGAGAACCCCGAGAGGTGGAGCAGCTCTGGGCGGGGGCCTTGGAGGGGTGTGGTGGATGTGGGCTGAAAGCTGGGCACCCGGGAAGGGAGAAGCTGATTTCCATATTTCTATCAATGCGTTATCACTGTGATTCAGACACGATAATCCACTCTCGAACCATTATTTTTAAGTCTTAAAGTACACTGCAAATTGATATCAAAGTTTCTAAACTCAGAAGGTCCGTCAAGTTTTAAAGATTTGAAAAGAATGTAGAATGAAGCAAGAGAGCTGGCTGCAAGAAACTGCTCAAGTTTCTAAGAGCATTTAGTTTCCATAAGCTAACAGACCTTAGTCTTAGAAAAGGACAGAGAAACTTTCTCTTTAACACAGAGGCTAATTTTTGAGGCTTGAATCCTGGGCCTCAATTCAGACAGGCTAGGCAAGCGTGCTCTTCAGTCATACCTTCAACCCTACTTAAAGGTAAAATTTTAAATTCTTGGAGCCATCATTCCTAGCGGCTAATGTGCATTAAGAATTCTCAGGTGATTTAATAGTATCCATACTTAGAAGTTAAACTTATAACGTTGTAACTTATAAACGTTGTAAACATAAACGTTATAATGTTACTAAAGATACTTAATCTCCAACATTCAGCAGAAGAGAAAAAAATGCTTACATTTTGATAGCACAAAGTAGCATGATGGTTTCAAGTAGAGTTCTGAGTTGCTCACTTTTTTGTACTTGTTAGTGATGTTATGTATACACTTTATAAATGATAAGTTTGGGGCTGGGAAGGTGGCTCAGTGGTAGAGCGCTTGCCTTGCATGCCTGAGGCCCTGGGTTCGATTCCTCAGCACCTCATAAGCCAAAAGAAAACAAGCCGGAAGTGGCACTGTGGCTCAAATGGTAGTGCGCTAGCCTTGAGCTGAAGAGCTGAGGGACAGCGCCCAGGCCCAGAGTTTAGGCCCCACGACCGGATTCCCCCCCCCCCACCAAATGATGTTTGCTTAGGTATATTAGGAAATTATTACTTTTTCTATACTAGCCAGAAGACTAAGTCGTTATTATATAATTGCTTTGGGTAGACATGTTTGAAAAGCCTCAGTTGCAACTTAGGTTTGGAATATAATTTATTATGTTTCAAAACAATATGTTATAGTTCTCATGAACAGGGTTTTTTAGCAACCAGATGACCAAGACACCTTATTTGGAAATGAAGTATTATATAGTATTTTAGTATTTATGTCATTTAAGTTTCCTTTTGTGTTCTGATGTATATTTGTAACCCTAAATTAAATCTTTCAGTTTGTAAGGATAATTTTACTGCTGTTTCATATACTACTGAGCTTCTAGTGACTGATAATAAATGAGATGCCTTTGGTAAAGAGGATGTCACATTATCATTAAAGAGCAGCCAAATGATATTAGTACATTGAATAAACATTGTAAAACTTCCAGAGTCTTTATCTGTATAATGAGAGTATTAGTCTAAATTAATTGATTGTGCAAATATTTAAGTGTCCACTAGTGTTGGACTTCCATGTGTCTCAGATCAGTAGACAAGTTTTCTGAACTGATTGGTTTACAGTTGAGTAGGGAAGAAAACACCTAAGATGATAATGAATCTAGGGCTGGAAGGTGGATTAGTGGTAGAGTGCCTACCTAGCATACATGAAGCCCTGGGTTTGATTCCTCAGTACCACACAAACAGGTAAAGCCAGAAGCGGTGCCATGGCTCAAGTGGTAGTGCGCTAGCCTTGAGCAAAAGAAGCTCAGGGACAGTGCCCAGGACCTAAGTTTGTGCCCCAGGACTGGAAAAAAAAAAAAGATAATGAACATACTGGATATATTAACAAGGTTTAGGAGAGGGTGATCTAAAGCTGGAAGAAAAGGGATAACAGGTGAGAAAAAGAAAGGAGAAGGGGAAAGAGAATAAAGTTAATACAGTTTGTACTTGAACTCATTCTTAAAGGAGTTGAATATTGTAGGTGGATTTGACAGGGACATTTTAGAATACTAAACTACAATGAATGCAAGACATAAAACAGCATAGTTTTCTGGAAACTACAAATAATTTTAAATACTTTAGTATATATTTTTATAGTTTAGTCTCCAGTGTTTTGTCTGTACCTCAGAAGGCATACAAAATGGGTCCAAATAGGAGTGAGGGAAGAAATTATTAAAACTTCAGTATATTCTATTATTATTTTATTCTAAATGTCTGGTTTTGTTTTGCTTTTGTGATATTTATACTAGTAGTAGATATATAAACATAAATATAGGGCTGGGAAAGTGGCTCAGTGGTAGCGCGCTTGTCTTGCATGCCTGAGGCCCTGGGTTCGATTTCTCAGCACCACATAAGCAAAAAAGAAAAAAAGCCAGATTTTAAACATAAATATACACACATATGTATGTATATGTATATATACGTATCTAGGCAAGTGCTCTGCCACTTGAGCCATATCCCCTTTTTAGTTATCTTTAAGATATTTTTTAGTTATTTTTTAGATAGGATCAACTTCCTGCTTTTTGCCTTCATCTATCCTTGAATCGTGATTTCCTATCTCTGCCTCCCATGCATGTTCTGGGATTACAGTTATGAAATATCATGTCCATCTTGTTCAATATAAAATCTTGATAACTTTTTGTTTGGGCTGGCTTCAACTGTAATCCTCCTTTTTCTGCCTTCCAAGTAGCAGGGATTATAGATGTGAGCCATTGTTCCCAGATTACTTTCAGAGTTTTAGTGGTAAATCTTGATTTAGCTTGTTAAATACTATGCTGCAAGGAAGAATGCTTAGAGTACTACTGGGATAAGCTATAGTAGCAGGGGTGAGAAACCTTTTTAACTGCATGGGGCTATTTTGATATTTATAACATAATTTGAACAGGCTGATTCACTGAATTTCATTTTTCCAAAGCAGCTAAATTTACTGAATTTCAAGTCCCACCCAGGTCAAATGCTTTCCCAGGCCTTCTCCAGCCCTCAGGACGGAACATATGCTATTCCCAGGAGTGTTAGAGATGTAAAGAAAAAATAACAGGGGTGGGAGGAAACTGATTCAAATACTTTAATAGATTTTATTTAAGCTAGTTTGTTTATTTGCTTGGTGGGTTGTGAGGCTTGAACTCTGGGCCTGGGCTCTGTCCCTCAGCTCTTCAGCTCAAGGCAAGCACTCTACCACTTGAGCCACATTAACACTTCCAGTTTTTTTGGTGGCTAATTGGAGATAAGAGTCTCATGGTCTTTCCTGCCTGGGCTGGTTTTGAACCTTGATCCTCAGATCTCAGCCTCCTGAGTAGCTAGGATTACAGGCATGAACCACTGATGCCTGGCTTCAAGCTAATTTTTTTTTTTTTTTTGCCGGTTGTGGGGCTTGAACTTTGGGCTTGGCACTGTCCCTCAGCTCTTCAGCTCAAGGCGAGTACTCTACCACTTGAGCCATAGCTCCACTTCCAGTTTTCTGAGTGGTATTGGAGATAAGTGTCTCATGGACTTTCCTGCCTGGGCTGGCTTTGAACCATGATCCTCAAATCTCAGCCTCCTGAGTAGCTAGGATTACAGGTGTGAGCCACCAGCGTCCGGTTTCAAGCTTATTTTTAAACTAGGTTTTAAAGAGTGTATAAAATGTTGGTAGGTGAAATTCAGGAGTCAATTGACAATTACTTTAATTATTCTGTGCTAGGTAGAGTATAAAGCCATATAAAATGATCTTTTATGCTACTTCATTTTGATAGGTGAACAGAAAATACAATTTAGAATTCTGATGCATACAAATACAGAGTATTCGTTAGGAAATAGTTTGTACCCTATGATTAGTGTATAAGATGAATAGGATCTGTAGTGACAGGTAGGTCTAGAAAGATAGGATGGGGCCAGTTAGAGAGGGCTTTGAATGCTTACTAAGGAGTTTAGAATCTAGGCCATGTAAATGTGTCACAAGGGTTAAGAGAGTAACATGATGTTACTAGTATTTTGAAGAAGGTAGAAATGGAAGGAGGAAGAAAGCAGGAAGTCAATTAAAAGGTTATTTAATTAATTCCATCAAAAAATATAATGAACAGTTGGAATATAAAGCTTAGATGAAGATACAGAAGAGAATTTAACTCAGCAGGTGCAAATGGTAAATGGCAAACTGTTGGATGCATGGTGTGAAGGAGTGATGTCCAAATGAATTAGGTTATTTGTACCCAGGTGATGGAGATACTGTGATGATAAGAGGGATTCATTTGAAGATATCCAGCTGAAAATTAATTTAAAAAGTGCATATGGTAATAAGAAGTGTGGTTTTTGTGGGGTTTGAACTGAAGGCCTGGGTGCTGTCCCTGAGCCTCTTTGTGAGCAAAGCTAACACTCTACCACTTTAAGCTGCAGCTTCATTTCCAGTTTTTGAGTGGTTAATTGGAGGTAAGAGTCTCACTTTTCTGCCTGGGCTGGCTTTGAACTATGTTCCTCACATCTCAGCCTCCTGAATAGGATTACAGGCATGAAGCACCCACTCCTGGCACTATAGATGTTTAATAAAGGGTTAACATACAGAAAGGCAATGATTAAAGAAATGAAAGTGAATGAGACTGCCCAGGATGAAGTTTAGTTATAAAAGGGGGCAGCAAACTTTGAGGATTGTCTTCAACAGTCTTTTCAGGAAGAAAAAGGATTAGAAAAACTTCTATTAAAGTATATTTAAAAAGCTGAACACTTTGAGTAAGTGCAGTTAACAAAGTTGAAAAGGATTTCTCATGACACAAATGTATTATCTGGAATAATGTGAACACAGACTTCATTGCTTAATGATTTTTTTTTGTTTTGTTTTCCATTGAAGATACTAATTTAAGAATGGTTTAGCTTTCATATAATAAAAATGCCTATGTAGACTTTGATTGTTGTTGGGATTT